TCTGCCGGCCGCTGCGCGCTCCCGCTCCCCCGCGCGGCCACGCAAACTTTTCCGCGCGCGCGGCCATGTGAGCTTGAAGACGCTTCCCTAGGTGCAGCTCACAGGGTTTCTGGGAATCACAAAGGGGTCCCCCCAACTCCGGGCCCGGGTTCCCTCCCTTTGTCGGTGTGGCTCTTTGAGTTGAGGAAGAAAGGAGTCTGAGCGCGGCTCTGGGTGTGCCGGGGACACTCGCACTTCAGTCTCGCGCCTGCCCGCACCCTTGCGCGCCGGTCACGCGCTCTCAGCACTCACGCCTGGAGTTCTGCGGCTTCTCTGGGGGTTGGCCCTGAGCATGGGCCCCGGCCCCCTCCCTGTCCCCCCGCGCGGCTCGGGGCGACGCACGTGCCCTGGTCCCCAGACCCCAAACTCTGGCGTGAATGGGGGCCTCGCCCCAGCCCCTTGGCACCCTTGCCTGGTATCCGCATCATGGGTCAGCGCCATCCACCCCTCGGGCTTCCACCCCACCGCCACCCAGAGCACAGATACCCCACACACACCAGGTGCGCCACCTGCCCCAGGCTCGTCGTGCCCGTATGGCCCTGTCCCCCTGGCACGGGACCTCTTTTTCTGTCTTTGCCTGCTCACGGAGGGACCAGGTGCTCTGTCCTCCCCTTGACTCTCCTTTTCTCTCAGAGAAAACCTCGTGGGTCTCTGCCAGGGCCCCCCACATCCCTCCACATCCCAGACTCGCTGCCCCAAGCATGGGTGTTGATGAACCAAGTTACCCACCGGGCTGGAGGGGCTCACGGAAAGAGCCAGGTAGGGGTGGGGACAGGACCTACTCCCACCCTCCCGGCTGTGGCTCACTGTGGCCCACCTGGTTCCCTTCCTCTTTCCTATTTGAGGAGGGACCACAATGCCTTCCAAAGAGAGGAAGGTGGCAGGCCCAGCCCTCCCTGCTGTCTGGGCAGCATTCAGCAAAATGGCGCTGGCCTATTTTTGCAATATTTCTATTTTGCAAAAGGAGGGGCCCCAGGGAGGCCTTGGGGCAAAGACGTCAAGGGAGTTAACAATCTACTCTTTCTCCTACTTTCCCCTTCTTTTTCTTCTTATTTCGGATTGTTCTTTAGTTCTCAATGACTTCTCAAAGATTGTGCCGAACCTCCCTTTTTCCACAGCCCTCTCCATCAACTCCTTCCTGCCAACTTCCATTCCCGACTGCCTGTCCGACTCCCTGTGGGCAAACAGCAGTTGGAAAGGCCCAGAGGCTTTACTAACGTTCCCTGGCCCTAAAACCCCGAATAGGGAAACAAATCTTAAACCAAGCAAACCACACTCTTCCCAAAAGACTAGTCCTGGGAAGGGGGAGGGCAGGGCCACTAGGCAGAGCAGACCCCGAGCTCTACTCCCACGGGTATCTCAGGATGTCTCTGTCCATGACTCTTGAGGGTCACAAGCCTGCCTCTGAATGCTGCCCCCAGGGTGCCCCAGAGCAAGGATTCTGCCCCTTGCAGCTCTGGCTTGTAACAACAGAGGACCAATCCTGTCAATCCCACACCCCACTCCCAAGCCTCTGCTTTCCTGGCTGGACAATAGAGGGTAGAGGGAAGCTTGATGATTGGGGTGTGTGGAGTGATTTCCAGGTGTGCTCAAAAATGTCTGTTCTGCTGGCTCTGAATGTCTTCCTGGGCTCCTGCTGATGGGGGTCAGGGCCGAGCCGAGGAGGGTCTGGGTGGATGGGAAAGCATCTCCCTTCCCAGTTACCTGGCAAGGCCAACTGGATCGGCTTCCCTCTACCTTGGTGGCCTCTGGTGGGCAAAAGCTGGGCAGGAATGTGATGGGGCAGGCCTGAGAACGTCAGGGGAAGGCGGCACAGATAGGGCCGGCTAGAGGGGCTGCCATGTGTGACCCATGGCAGGGGAGGTGACAGCCAAGACAATGGCCACAGTCAGATACTGCGGGCAGCAAGAGCAAGGACATTTGGTGGCGAACAGGTCAGAGAATCGAGAAATTGAGGCCAAGCTGGTGTGTTAGGGTTTAGGCAGTAGGTTGTGGGGTGTGAGTCAGGTGTAAAGCAGGGGTCCCCAGATTCCTCCCTGTCCTCTCTCTCTGGTATGTGCTTGTACCAAGGAGAGAAGCCTAGTACTCAGGTGTCCCTGAGGCTATGACCCACATCTGCCTGGACACCCCTGATGTAGTGACACCTTTGTGACACCCAAAGGCCTCAGGAAATTCATGCCCAGACTCAGGATAGAATTCCCAGTGCCATGATCCTTCCTGACTGCAGGGCCTGGGCTCAGAGCCTCCAGCAGCTCCTTAGACATCGCACCCCAAGAGAAAAATCCAAGGAGAAAGCTCTACAGCAATCCCACTGTCTCCAGAGCCCAGGAGGCCCAGCCATGCTCCCCGAGAGCTGCAGGGCTGGCTGCTGTCTTCCTGCACCCCCAGTGTGTGCCCACTCATTCTTCCTCCCTCCCGAGCCTGGGGCCTTCTCACTCACTGGCCTGTTTACACACCAGGTATCTCATGCTTTATCTGCTCTCATTTTGAATTTGTAACTTTCACATAAACTTGAACAAAGCTCCTTTTGTTCCTGCACCCCACCCCAAGATCCCAATAAACTGGTTCCCTCTCGGGCGACTGGGCCAGGGCACAGATGCCTTGGCCAAAGGACTGCATGTGCATGTGAACAAGCATGTTCGCACCTGTGAGGAGTCAAGAGTGTGTGTGTGTGTGTGTGTGTGTGTGTGTGTGTGTGTGTGAGCACACCCCCCAGGCTGGCAGAAGGTGAGACTATTTGGGGAGACTGGGCAAATGTGAGCAGGAGGCACGGGGGGTGGGAGGCACAGGAGTGCAGGGCCAGGGTGACACGGCATGGGCCTGGGTACAGGCTCCACTAGCAGGCAGCGGAGGTCATGGGCATGGACAGGCTGGTGTTGGGTCTGGTGAGGGGCAAACAAGGACGAGGAGGAAACAAAGGGGAGGAAGGAGCCGCGGAGTGGGTGGCAAAGAGAGAGGCCGAGGCCACGCTAAGTGTAAGGCAGACACAGGATCGCATTATGGCAGCATAGGGCCGGTACAGCCGCACGCTCAGCCCTGTAATCCTGTTAGCCAGCAATCTCCATTCCGAAAGAGCTTCATTTCTTTGTGAATATTTGTAAACTAGATATCTAATGGAAAATTATAGGAAAATTATAGTGAAATTCATGACGGAGAAATCCGATTATCCCTAATTCAATTATGCCATCTTAGCCCACACAGCACATTTCCCATTTTTTTTCCCATAAATACCGATGCCAGGGGTCCCGGTAATCAAATAAAATTGAAAATCATCTTCCCATTAAATTCAATTAGCTGCAATTTCTAAAGCCTATCAGAGATTTTAATTACTAAATTATAAAATTCTCCAATGCTAAATTGAAACCAAAAAAATTGCACATCCTTATATTTCAGAGAAAAAAAAAGGGCCAGCAAAATCCTTGAAAAATGCCCTCCTCTCTGTGTCCAGCTTTAAAGCAGCTGCCCCACCTGGAGGACCTCACAGGAGCTGCCTCCCTGCAGCTGGGATGGGGCTGGGCCCAGAAAGGGAGGGGCTGAGAGCTGAACAGGAGGCAAACCCACCCAAAGCCTCGCCACCTCTGGCACACTGGCCTTTCTCACTTTGGCCATCCTGCTCCTGAGATGCCCTCAGCTCTGTCTCCTACCCAGGCATCTCTAACTCTCGGTGCCACCTTCTTGGCCTGTGAGCCTGACATCGGCTCCGGCCACAGCTTGGCTTATAGCCCTGCTATGGTTATAGGGTAGCTGACCAGAAGTAATCAGCTTCTTACCCAAGCCCTGGCTCTCTGACCACTCTGAGCACCCCCCCCAACACACCATGGCCTAGGCTGGAACCAGACAGATCCTAGTGTCTCAGGTGGTTGGATACCATGAGATTGTTCCATGGCCCAATATCGTCTTTTGGGCTTTTCCAGGGGCCGTGGATCCTGGCCAAACCAGCCTCCTGGGACAAGAGCAGGACCAAATTGGCTAAATCTGGCTTCCTTCTGCACTCCCAGCTCAGTCTGTCCCCTATGGGCTCTCCTGGGAAGTCAGCAATCCTGAGCTGGCCAGGAAGAATACTGTGACCCTGGGAGGGACTCACTATTACCCATTGCCCCACAGGTAAGTGCCGGCCACAACCCCAAGCAGAAGCCCTTCCTCTCCCACCAAACCCCTTGAACCACTTACCCACCTCTGAGGGGTGCTCTGCAAACCAGGAGAGCCTGGGGTGGTGGCATTGGTGGTGGCATACAGTGACTCAGGGTCTAAAACCCAAGCTAAGTGGCTTGGAGGGCAGCAGATGGCCCTGAAATACTTGGGGCAGCCGGCAGTAGGCCTGCTGGCGACCCAGCACCCCGGGAGCAGGGAGCAGGTTTGATCTGCCAGGCAGTCAAGACTGCCAGCCCGGGAGGCACCCGCAAACAAAACAAAAACAAAAAAGTTAATTATCTTTGGCTTTTTCTTAATAAATATCCAAACTGGCCCGGCCGGATCCTCCACTTTGGAGGGAGAGAGAAGGAGGAAAAAAAAAAAAAACAAAACAAAAAACTCAAAGCATATCCAACAGACTCATTCTCTTTCCTGTCTACATTTTCCTTTGTCTCTGGCCCTTGTATTTATCTCATATCAGCAGCAGTGACAGTTTCACGTGAATTCCCAAATTCTACAAATCCAATAGCATGGCCACAACAGCTGTTTTGTTTTTCTTTCTTTCTTCTTTCTATTTTTTTGCAAAGTTTTTGGGGTAGGAAAGTGGGGTATAAGAAGAGAGAGGTGGGTGGGAAGAAAAAGGGTGAGAAACGAGAACAGAAGCAAAGGAGGGAACAGGAGAGACACAAAAGGGAGGCCAGGGATGACAGGGCTGGGTCTCCATGTGGGCAGGGACAGCAGCCTGTTCTGGAGTGGCCCGTTGCCATTTCAGTTCATGTACAATGATCTGAGGTGGAGAGTTTATTATTTTAAATCTGAAACCACCTAGGTCTCAGTGGACACTCTGGCCGCCCATTTCTGTGCTGAGCCTCCCTTCCTGGAGTGTGGCTGGGAAGAGAGACCTGGAGCACCCAGGGGAGGAACGGTGCTGTCCTTGTGTGTGTAGTGGGGGGTGCTTTGCTGCAAGGTGTGTACCTGGAAGAAGAGGGAGTGCATCCCTGCCTGGGCCTACACATCTGGATAGCGCATGTATCTGCCTGAGCCCAAACTGTCAGAAACATGAGGCAGGGCATGTATGGGGAAGCTGGCACATGGAGCAGTCCCTCCCTCATGAAATGCTGTTCTGGCATCCCTCTATCTCAGTTTAAGCCTTGGCTCCGTCATCCTGAGGCTGTGCAACTGTCACCAAATTGCTGGCCCTCTCTGAGCCTCCCTTTTTCTCAAGGTCTAAAAGGAATAATAATCAGTGGTTGCCCGTCCCATGTGGAAAGATGGATGGGAGTGACTGCTACTGAGTATGAGGCTTCTTTCTAGGGGAATAAAAATGTCCTGAAATTAGATATTGGTGATAGTTGTACAACCTTGAGAATATACTACTAACCAATCACTGAACTGTACTTTTTTTTTTTTTTTTTTTTTTTTTTTTTTTTTTGTACTGGGGATCGAACTCAGGACCTTGTGCTTGTGAGGCAGGTGCAATACCACTGAGCTGAATCCCCCGCCCTGAACTGTATATTTTAGAAGAGTGAATTTTGTCGGGCATGGTGGCACACACCTGTAATCCCACTTACTTGAGAGGCTGGGGCAGGAGGATAGAAAGTTTGAGGCGAGCTTGGGCAACTAGTGAGAGCCAATCTCAAAATAAAAAGTAAAAGCTAGGCGTGGTGGTGCCCACCTGTAAACCCAGCATGCTGGGAGGCTGAGGCAGGAGGATCACAAGTTTCAGCTAAGACTGGCCAATGTAACCTTATAGGGAGATCTTGACTCAAAGTAAAATTTTAAAAAAGTAAAAGATATGGGGATGTAAATCGATGCAGAAACCTTGGGTTCAATCCTCAGTGCCACCAAGTAAATAAATACATAAGCTGGGGACATGGTACAGTACCCCTGGTTTCCATCCCTAGTACCACCACCAAAAAAGGTGGATTTTATGGTATATGAATTGTATTTCAATAATCTGGGTATTAAAGAGTGGGGAGGAAGGATGAATAGTGTTACCACTGACTGCAGAGAGGCTGTAGGACACAGTGCTTGGCCGGGCATGCACCGAGCGCCCAGGGAGGACTCCCGTCACCATGAGACAGTGAGTGTGCAGTACAGGGAATCACTAGCAGCTCCCCCAGTCCCTGGAGCCAGGCCAGTGGGCTGTCAGGCAGCTGAGCTGCCCCGGGGCTTGGAGGGGGCTCCTGGGCAGCTGCCCCCTGGCAGGGGTGGGAGAGTGCACAGCCCTCCTCCTGCCTCCCGCTAGGTCCCTGGGGAGGCGGCTGCCCACCGTGGCAGGCCGACTCCGGGGCAGACACTCATATTCTCCGTGTGCAGCAGACCGTGAATTCACCTTCATACTAGTTACAGGGTTATTTAGCTGCTCCTGACACTGACAATCACAAACTTTAATGCGCTGCTTGGCTTCTCCCTGCTGTGCCCTCTGCCCACCCCCAAAATCCTTGGGAGAGGATGGGAAGGACCGAGGTCCAGCCCTCTCTTGCCAAAGCTTGCCCTTCGCAGTGATGGAGTGATGGGAGGAGGTGGGGGTGGTCAGAAGGAGGAGACAACGGGCAAAGGGCGCGGGAGAGAACAGCGCGGGAGAGAGGAAGTACCGCCAGGGCTAATGGGAGCTTCCGTGCCGCTCCTCCAGCCTGACACTAATGTATGCAACCTGACATCCCATCCTGTCGTGAGTGACGACTCCGTGATCAGGCTGCTGGGCTGAGGGTCTGGCGAGGCCCGACAGGGGCTGGGACTCAGGGTTGAGGCTGAACTCCCAGGACCAGGCAGTTGGCATGGGGCCGGCTAGCAGGTGCCCAACCAGGAGCTGCTGTGAGGAAGTCCATCCTGCCGGGTCTGGCCAGCCTGCCCGGCTGAGGCTTGTCCCAGCCTGTGTCATCTTTCCTCCGACGAAGGCAGGTGCATCTGCTCAAATCTCAGACCGCTCAAACTGCCGAAACCTCAGACAGGAAATCGAGACCCAGTGACACTGCCCACCGACCAAGCAAATCACAGCAGCCTGAGATGGCTGAAACTAGGGGTCCAGCCAGGTACCTGTGTCCTTGCTGCTGAGAGAAGCCACCATGCTTTGATCACTGTGGCAATCCCGTTGGCATTCCTCCCGCCTTCCCCTAGGCTCCTGCCGATCCCATCTTTCTGTCTCCCTTGTGCTCCCACACACTTTCCGTGCATGGCCCAGCTTCCGAAGGTCCCCGAGACCCACTGGCTCAGGAACAATCCGTCTGGGGGAACCTGTTCTCTCAGTCACCGGCCATCTCCTGCAGCGGTCACCATCATCGTTCCCCAAAGTCTCCAGGGCGAGCGATGTGGGGTCACCGTGCTCTGAGAATGGTGCAGGTGGAAGAGGAGATCCTCTTATTCACAAAATCCAAGCTGGCCCCACCAGCCACTCACTAGGCAGACAGTCCCAGGAGCAGAAAGCCAAGCCAGGAGGACTCACACAGACCAGAGGCCAGGCAAGGCGCTGGGCCAGGAAGCTTGGAAAGGGGATCCAAGGCTGGAGGCAGGGCTGGGGGGTGGGGGACGCATTGGCTGGTCCAAGCCCGCGTACGTTTCCTCCTAGCCCCATTCCACTGACCCACCCCTGCCAGGCGGAGAAGCGGCCGGGGTGGCCTGGGCAAGAGAGATGTCAGCGGGGCCGATGGGAGAAGGGGCTTGTTGACTGCAAACTGTCCATTATGGCTCAGATTATAAGCATATTGCACAGGGCTCTCTGCACGATGCCGGGGAAATCCAATACGCTGAAAGGTTAATGCAATCAATTAGGGTGACAAGGAAGTAAAGTAAAGCCTTCCGAGTAGATGAAAAGGAGAGAGAAAGAGAGAGGGCCACGAGTTGCAGGGATGGGGGTGGCATGGGTGGCGGGGAGGCGAAGAGGGAGAGAAGCTGGTGGGGTGCAGTGCAAAGGCCTGAAGGGGAGCAGAGCTGTGCGGAGGCCAGGGGAGGCAGGGAGAGGCCACAGAGGCTGTAGCACAGCCAGCAGGAGAGGCGGCCAGGAAAGCTGCTTCTATCCCAGAGCTCTGGCTGCACAAAGCTCCCCTCTCCTTGTTCCTCCCTGCCAGCCTTTCCTCTCAGGCTTGGTGCCAGCTCCCAGGTTAGCAGGGCCATGGGGCTGTGCCAGAGTAGCCTTGGCCCCTGACCCCAGCCAGAGCCAGGGCCTGTGGAGCAACCTCCAGGGCCTTCCCAGCCACAGCTGCAGCTCCCAAGGGGCCTGCTGTCCTCTCAGCAGTGCTCCCGCGCCTGTCAGCTTGCCCCAGGCATCCCAGTCCCTCCCTGCACAGCAGAGCATGGTCAAGATCCCCCAGCTTCTAGACTGAGAAAGTGGTACCAAGAGAGGTCTGGACACTTCCCAGGTCCCAGGAGCAGCATGGGGCAGCCCAGGGCTGCCCAGTCCACTAACCAGAGGGCATTCAGGGTCTCGCCTTCCCCAGTGCCTCAGGCCCACAGGGAGAAGCCCCGCGGCCTCTGTCCAGGTTGCTTCTTCGTCCTATGCCTACAGGAGAGACCCAGGCTCTTGATCATCCCTGCTGGGTCCCAGGCTGGTGGCTTCCAGCCTCAACTCCCTTACTCATCCCAATAAGATGTCCTCTCACCTTGCACAAGAGGAGACTGTGTGTCCAGGGCTAAAGAGCTTGCTACAGGCGACAGGAGAGGGGTGCAGGGCTCCCTGGGTGCTAGGAGCAAGCACACTAAGGGCCTGGGAGGAAAGAAGGGATGGCATTTCCAGATGGAAGGGGCCAAGCAGGGGACAGGGGCTTAACAAAGGAGGGACAGGGACTCCCTAGCAGTGAACAGGACAGTGAGCAGCCTGCACCCTCAGATTAATGCCAGGGCCACCAGAGCCATTCACCGAGGATGACAGTACAGAAAGAGACCGGGTCAGTGGGTCACTCTCGAGCTCATGTTCTATATATTTTACGAGAGGGCAGGGGAGAAGGGTTCAGAACCTCCAAGGCTTGGGCCTTCAAACTTTCCTGTCAAGGGCCGGATAGTACGTATTTCATTCACACTGTGCAGGCCACTTCCTGTTGTAGCCACTCAACACTGCCATTGTAGAGTGAAAGCAGCCACAGACGACAGGAGAACAAATAGGCATGGCTGTTTCCAATAAAACTTTATTTATACAAATAGGCTGTGGGCTAAATGTGACCCAGGGGACATCCTG